TACAGTTTCTTTTACCACAGCGTGTTTTCCTTGTTTTTATCCCTTTCTATATTCTGAATGTTTGTTTTTGCTTTGTCTGATCATACAACTGCAATGCCTGTCTTTCTGGATTAACCTAATGCACAATAAATTTTGTTCTACCCTTCATTTTTGTTCAAGTCCATTTCTTGTAAGCAACAGATTGTGCTATTCTGTTTTCTTATCCAGGTTAGTCACTCTTTTTCATTTTATTGGATTTTTTAAAAGTTCTACAAGTTAGCTTGAAATTTTTCTCCACTTATTTCTGAAATTGGTTCTATTCCCAAATTGGGATTTTTTCCCCTCTTCATCTCTACAGACACACTTTTTCTCTTTAGCTGCTTTAATTCAATCTACTTTGTCAACTGTATTCCCATAGGCTCTCTTCCCCTAAACCTCAAGCCCCTGCCCCCTCTTCCCTCATTCTCATTTTGTAATATCTATTCACAGATGTCTGGACTTATTTAGCTGATCTGGGGACCATATTCCCTTCTGTTATTAATACCTTCTTTGCTGGTTTATCTGTTTATTCTCATGGTCATCTGCCGAGTCTTCTTCCCTCTAAGATCTTTGGTAATTGTTTTTTTCTTATTTTCCGTTATCAATCATTTTCTGACTTCTTCCTTTTTGATGGTGGTTACTCCAGTGGCTGGATCTTAAAGCTATTCTCAGACTCCTCCCATGTAGGGGAATTCAGGGGTTAAGTAACTCAGTCTCTATCCCAATTCACTTCTGGGTGGGGGGGGGGAGGGAAGGAAGGAGGGAATTAATTCTAGCTAGATGCTGATCACTCTGGCTTAATCAAGCATCACACAGCCAAACAAACTGCTATTCTACCACAGCTTCCTTTGTTCCTCAGTTTTCTGGCTGAGCTCTGTGGCAGAGCCACACTGCAATGGCAGTTAAATTGAGCCTGTGCCTTTTGTTTTTCTGAGGCACAAGGAAGAAAGGGGAAACGGAGGTGAGTTTTGCTGCAAGCCTTTGAGTCAGCTAGTGCAGCTCTGTCAAACAGTAGGAGCAGAGTGTGAGTTTAAGGATTAGCCTTTTCTGCTGTTCATTAGATTTTTACCTTGTTATGGCTGTTAATGTCTTAAGACTATAAAGACAGCTGAAACTGTTTTTCTCTTGCTCATAATTCCTATTTTATTGAAGCTTGAGAGGTCATGTGGATGAGAAAAAGTGTCTAGTTGAAAGCTTGAACTAATTTATTTATTCAGTGCTGTATCAAAGTACCAAAGGATTACTTTACAGAGCTAGGAAAAAAATTAAAATGAAATTCATTCAGGAGCAATAATGGTCAAGAACCTCAAGAGAAGTGATGGCAAAAAATGGGATGGAAAGAAACCTGGCAGTACAAACTACACCATAATTTAGCAATGCCTCAAAAATGATTTGATATTGGTTAAGAGAGAGGTTGATCAGTGCAACAGATTAGGTACACAATATATAGAAGCAAATGAGCACATTAGTCTAGTGTTTGATAAACACAAAGATCTGATCAGTTGAGAAAAGAACTATCTGACAAAATCTATTGGGAAAATTCTAAAGCAGTCTAGCAGAAGCTACAGATCAACATTTCATACCTCATACCAAGACAGGTTCGAAACGGCTACATGATTTAGACATAAAGGGGGACATCAAAAACAAATTAGAGGAGTAAGAAAGAAATTACTTATTAGAATTATGGATAGAGAATGGCAGTGAGGATCATAAAAGGCAAAATGGACAAATATGATTACATAAAATTTAAGTTTTTGCATAAACAAAACCAATGCAGCTAAAATTAGAAGAGAAGCAGTAAAACGGTAAAAAAAAAAAACCTTTGTAGTAAGTTTCTGTGACAAAGGTTTTATTTCTAAGATATATACAGAACTAATTCAAATTTCTAAGACTGGGAGACATTCTCCAATCAAAGAATATTCACAGGACGTTTGCTGAGTTAGATATCAAAGCTATTATGAGACACATGAAATAATGCTCTACTTCACTAATAATTAGATAAATGCAAATTAAAGTATCTCTAACGATCTACTTTACATTTATCAGTTTGGCCACTATGACAAAAAAGGAAATTGAAATTGTTGGAGGGGCTATGAAAAAACAGGCACATTAATGCTGGTATAACTGTAATCTAGTCAAGCCACTCTGGAAAGAATCTGGAACTATGACCTATTTACTAAACTGCCGAATTAGAAAGAGGTAAAGAAAGAGGAAAAGGACCTTATATACAAAAGTGTTTGCAACAATTATTTTTGTGATGGCAAAGAAATGTAAACTAAGGAGTTATCCAAAAATGAGAGAATGGCTGAAAAAAAATTATGATTTCAATAAAATTAGAATACTACTGTCCTTTAAGAAACGGAGAAGAGTATGGTTTTAGAGAAAAATGAAAGACTTGAACAAATTAATGCACAGTGAAGTGAGAACCAGGGGAAAAATTATTGCAATAACAACAGTATTGTAAAGACAAACAACTTTGAAAGACTTAAGAACTCTGATTAATGCAATGACCAACCATGACTCCAGAGGATTCATGACAAAACACTCTATCCACCTCCTCATAGGGAAGTGACTTAAGAATGAAACATGGCTAACGTGAATTAGTTTGACTTGACTATGAACATTTGTAATAAAGTTTTTCTTTTCAACAGGACAGGGAAGAGTAATGGAGAAATGATTTTCGTTTATTGAAAAAAAGTAAAAATAAAGTTAAACCTAGAAAGGCAAATTTATTCGAACATCTAGATGGACCCTTTGACGATGGAGTGCTAACATTCTAATAGTGAGAAAAGAAACAAGTATTCTTTCTGAACCTTAATGTCTTTAAAGGGTATTAAGAGAGTTAAATAAGAAAAATGCAGGACCTGGGGGTAGATCGTTTCAATTACCAATCAGGGTTTTAACGGGGAAAGAGAAGGGGAAGAAAAAGTTAGAATATATTACTGCACAAATGAGTTAGAAGGGAATGGAACTTGCTATCTCCTGTGATTGGGGTACATGAGAAGAAGAGAATATAAAATGAAGGAAGGGATGGCTCAGATGAACCCCACTCTTATCTGAAATGGGCAAAGTAAAGCTGAACACACAGAATTTCATGTAGAAATATATTAAACTCAAGAGGGAAACAAGCAGGCATAAGGGATAGGTTAAGAGGAAGGATAATACCCAGGTGGGAAACACTTGAAGCAAAATAAACTTCCTGATCCTAAGGGGGGGAATTAAAAGGGGGAAAAAAGGAAATTTAAAAAACTAGAATCTAATGGGCTGGCCACGAATCGGGAAATGGTTGAATAAATAAATTACAGTATATTGATGTAATAGATTACAAAAATGGATTACATATTAGTTTAAAAAAAAACCACTTGCAGAGAATCCTGAATAGTATAAACTAATATGAAACAAGTAAAATTAAGAAAGTAATTTATACAAGAACAAGACTGTAAAGAAAAATAACTTTAAAAGACATAAGGACTCTGACTGATGTCTTTTAAAGTTATTTTTCTTTACAGTCTTGTTCTTATTATCAACTATGTCTCCAGAGGACATTTTACCTACTTCCAGAGAAGTGACAGACATGAGACACAGAAAAAGACATTTTTTCACATGGCCACTGTGTGAACTCAATTTGTTTGACTATGCTTATTTGATAGAAGTCCCCCCCTCCTCAATTTTTAATGGGGGAGGGGAGAACAACATTGGTAGAGAGAAGGGAGGCTGGCTGTAATTACAAAAAAAGGCAGCAGTGAAACATTTTAAAATGCACAGAACACAGAAAGGTCAGAATAAAGTACAGCCAACTAGAACAGTTCTGAAAGTCAAAAAATGAAATTTATTTTATACCTTTTAAAAGCAACAAACAGCACGAAAAGGAAATTCATGGTTACATACATAACACTTTTTTGTGTTCTCTGCATGCTTTTTGGGGGTATTGGCGTTATTAAGAAAAAAACAACAACAATAATAACACCAAGAGGACTAACTCATGTAGACGAATCCCTGGTAAGGAATTCAAATTCATAAGACATAATGAGGGAACAGGAATAGATACCACTCTCTATATGGAAGCTATAGTCAGTCCTTGACTTCATTCCAGTTCTTAAATTTAATCATAATGAAGTCAGTTCTCTGAATTTTAGATGATCAGAGATTAGGACTGAATAAATTTGTGGATCTAAACATTAGCACTGCTCAGGGGCAATACTAATCATTAGCAACATTAAATGAGTATTTTCCAGGGTGTACTGCTAGTATTGGTATTTTCTGAATGGCATTTACTCATGAAACTCCATTAGTGACCGAATAGGCCTAGCTAACAGCTAAGGAATTCTCTGCTGATACAAATCCGAATAAAGAATTAGGAAAAAAAGTAGGTGGTTTATTTTTCCTATATGGCCTTAGGGCATATATAGAGTATATATGGTCTATATGACATTCTAAAGTTTTACAATCAATTTTTCAATCATTAATATTTAGGACCTGACAGACTTTATAATTTTGAACATGAATTTTCTTGATATGTTGACTTAAGTTTCAAAATGACTCATCGAAACAAAGAAACAGGGAGCCATACCAAGAAGAGTGAGTAGTCACTTGTGTACTTGCCTCTAATAAGATGCCACAAGAAAATAAGGCAAGAGAGAAAATATATGTGAGTTCATAAGACTATGTATTATTTCAGTTGTTTGTATCATGCTTTTAAAAATTGATGTAAAAAACCAAAATTATAGAATCAGAGAATTTTAGAGTTAGAAGTCACATAACATAACTCTCTTACCTAATGCATGAATCTTCCCTACAAAATTCTTTGAGGGAAATTGTATTTTTTTAAAATAGTATTTGCCTTGCAAAATTTTTAAGGACTGTCTAAAATATTATTAAATAAGCAGAATAATCACCAGCAAATTAAAAACAACATTTAGTTTTGAAAAAAAAATTACACTTCTGTTCTAATAAATAATTTGGCTAAAATACATTTATCTTACCTGATCTCCAAGTTTATTACTTCAGTCAATTCTCCAAATTTTATTTCCTCTACCTGTAATTCTTTAACAGCATCCAGAATTTTTTGCTGGTCTCTAATATTAGTAATTCCATTCTAAATGTAAAATAAAATTTCAGTTATAATGATTAGGAGAGTTATAACACTAGATTTCTAAGAAAGCTAGTTACTTGATGAATAACATATTGAAATAAGTAAGGATAATAACTGGACCTATTGTCTCCTGAACGAAGAAAATTCTTCTACCAATGCAGGACAGTATCTTCTTTACAACTAATATTCTCGAAGAGTTGTCTAGAGCACTGAGAGGTTATTTAATTTGCCTTTCCTCCCTTGATTATCTCCAATTTACCATGTAAAAAGCTTTTGTTGTACATAGCTATGCTCATGCTGTCTCTCTGATTAGACTGTGAACTCCCTGAGGGTAAGGAATGTCTTTTGCCTCTCTGTATCCTCACCCCTCAGTACAGTGCTTGGCCCTTAGCAGGTGCTTAAATAAATATTGACTAGACTGACTTACACACAGCCAGTATATGTCAGAGGTAGAACTTAACTGAATGGAGACTGGGTCCGTGGCCAGCTTTATCTCTCTATTCATTATAACACTGCAAAAATGAAATGAATAAGCTTCTGATTTGAGATTGGTTAATTTTTAGTATGTACCTTTAACTATGTTTCCATTTTAGGAACTTATTTATTTTACTATGTTTGTTATTATTTATTAACATAATTACTTATTTACACTAACTGTGATACAGAATCTAAACATATTAAGGATTATTGAGATTTCAATATGCAAGTAAACTAAACACTACAATAGTATTTCATTTTAAAAAAATAGGAGTCAGTGGTATGTATGGATTATATATGATATGATTATATGATAATCCTCCTCCTCTCCTTTATCAGACCCTCTTCTATTTTTCACTCAATCAAGTAACTAGCATCTATTGATTATTACATGCCAGACATTTGCTAGAAGCCAGAGATACAGCAACACAAACAAAATCACAAAAACCTTAAATTATTCTCTTAAATGCAGTAACTTTTATAGGCCATCTTCTCTGTATAACTTCAGTTGGGCATTCATTCTTTGTATAACGCTTTACAAACAGTAGCTGCTCATTAAAACCACTAGATGGCAAGATAATCACACAGTTTTCACAAAGATCCTATAGAGAAGTTAAAAAGTCTGGGAGATACATTGAAAGAGTCAAACTCAACAATGGCCTACTGGTTTATAAATGTATTTTGTATTTAGAATGCAAACACTATTTTACCCATATTGACACATCTCTTGAGTCCAAATAAAAAACCAAATTAACAGCAGAATTGTGCTTTTTAATTTTTTGCTAAAGCAAATTATGATGCTAAGAAAGCATATGGAACTGGTGACTTAAAATGAAAGAAATAGTAAAAACTCTATCACTGAATGAAACCCTATTCTATAATTTAAAATTAAAAATAAGCTTCAAACAAAAATGGCAATACAAAAATATAATACAATTCAATGTTGTAAAAAACACTAGCCTCTGTGAAGTCTTCCTTTCTCATTGTCAGAAGCTGCCGTAAGGTTATGTCTCTTTCCTGAGAAGAAAAAAAAAGTTTGTTAATTCAGGAGAAGGAAAAAATTGTTTCTATTTATATTCTCCCCCAAAGAGTAGGCAAATGTCCACTTTCCAAAATTTACATGAATTAAAACATAACAAATATTCAATTTAAAATATTATAGAATATAAAACAAAATAAACTTTGGTTTTTTAACTTTAGTTCTATACATTCCCTCTTAAAAATAAATAATTCTATGAAATTGTAGAAGTTTTATTTCAAGAACACAATTTATTTCTAATGTTATATCAAACTAAAATATCCTTTAGTTTGTTTAACTCAGTGTTTCTTTAGCTGATGAGGTTTCTAGATGAAGATTCAAGGTCAACTGGAATAAAGAATCCATATAAATACTTGAATAACATGAAAAGAATGATTACAGAATAGTGGAATTCATGAAAAGAATGACTATTCTTTAAGAACTAATGTTTTGCTAAGAAGGAAAATAGCTGTGGAGTTCCTGATAGCTAAGTGTCAGGTGGTAGGAACTACTAAAACTCTTGATATTGTATATATGTGTAAGATGGTACTAAAGAGTTACTAAAGCAAACTTTCAGATCCATTATGAAGCAAAAGAAGTTTCAAAAATTAAAAAAAAAACACCTTATAAAATTCTTTGAGATATTGTAAAAATCTGAATGTAATTTCACAGTAAAATACACTAGAAATTTTTTCAAATGAAAACTTACTTTTAGTAATTCTGTCATATGCTCAAGTCCAAGTCCATGTAAAAATACTTCCAGATCACCAAAAGCTGTATATGAACTATGTATATTCATAACAATTTGAGAGGAGGAAAGTACATACACCAGTAATTAATATTTGTTAAATATTCACATAAATCAAAGATATTTTTATAGACATAAACTAGACACTGAATGTACTAAATTAAATATCAAGATTTCTGAAGTGTGAAAGGTATAAAATTGTGATGATCAAATATGGGACTCAGTGCCAATAACTTCCTAGTTTAGAACTATCTTTTGGTATTCAGGATAACATTATTATTGGCTAATCATTCACCTAAGTTCCTTAATTTAATTGTAATAGTCATAAATATTAAGGTTTTTTTTTTACTTGTAAAATTTCTACCTTCTTAAAAATATGAAGAAGTGGAAAACAAAGTACAATGCTGCTTAAGCATCATCTTGGACCTACAGTCAGGAAGGCCCAAATTCAAATTCGGCCTCAGATACTTGCTAGTTGTTTGAGCCTCGGTAAGTCACTTTACCTATTTGTTTCAGTTTCCTCAGCTGTAAAATGGGGATAATAACACATAGCTCCCAAAGTTCTTGTGAAGATCAAATGAGGTAATATTGTAAAGTGTTTTGCAGACTTTATATATAATTAGTCAATCAGTCAGTAACTATTTATTAAGAGCATACTATGGGTTAGGTAGGGCAGCTAGGTGGTACAGTGGCTAGAGCTCAGGGCTTGGAGTTAGGAAGACCCAAGTTCAACTGTGGGCTCAGACACTGACCAGCTGTTTGACCCTGGGCAAGATACTTAACTCTGTTTGCCTCAGTTTTCCCATCTGTAAAATGAGCTAGAGAAGGAAATATCAAACCATTCTGCTATCTTTACCAAGAAAACCCTAAATGGGGTCATGAAGACTTGGACACAAATGAAACAACTGAACAAAAACAAAAGGTGCCAGGACACTATGCTAAGCACTGGGGATACAAAAAGAGGCAAAGACAGTGTCTGCTGTCAAAAAGCTTACAATCTAATGGGGGAGACAACATGCAAACAAATACATACAAAGCAAACTATATAGAAGATAAATGAGAAATAATTAACAAAGGAAAGACACAGTAATCAAGAGGGGTTGGGTAAGGCTTCCTGTAGGAGGCAAAGCATTTCTGGCAAGGGGGGCAGTCAAAAAAGAATGCCTGGAGCTGAGAGATGGAGGGCTTTATTTGTGGAACAGCCAGGAGGCCAGTGTCACTGTATCATAGAATATATTCTGAGGAGTAAGATGTAAGAAAATGGGAAAGAAAGGAGGGGTTTAGGTTTTAAAGGGCTTTGAATGCCCAACAGAACATAGCCTGGAGGCAATAGGAAGCCACAAGATATTAAGTAGGGAGATTATATGATAAATCTTGAGCTTTATGAAAATCACTTTCGTGACTGAATGGAGGATGGATTAGAGTGGAGAGAGACCTGAGACAGGCAGACCCATCCAAAGGCTATTGCAATAATCAAAGTGTCTGGTGATGAAAGCCTGTACTAGACAGCAATGCCAGAGAAGAGAAGGGAGTGTATTTGGTAGATGTTACAAAGGTAAAATCAGCAGGCCTTGGCAACAACTTGGATATAGGATTGGGGAGGTGGGGTGAAGAATCTAAGATGATTCCCAGGCTACGAGACTGAGGGAATGGAAAGATGCCCTCTACACTAATACGGAAGGTGGGAGGTGCTGGGGGACATGTTTAATTTGTGACATTTTTGTGAAATTTTAAAATGCAATTTATTCTAAATGGATCATCCTATTTTATTGCAATATTATGTTAACAAGTAACTTATAATAGTCATATTATTCAATGATTACTTACAGCCATTCAATATCTAACAATTCACTTATTTAATATTGAGTTAGCATTTAATTTATTTAAAATTTTAGTGATATAACTTTACCTAAATTTGTGCTCTTTTCCTGTATCACCATCTGTTGTCAAAAGTCTACATATAGCTTCTTCTTTAGTTAAGTGTTGGAGCTTTCCTTGCAATGGATTCACAGTCAAAGAAAGTAAAGTGAAGAGCTGAAAGAAAGTAAAGTGAAGAGCTGAAAATTTTAACAAACTCATTTAAATATAGTTAACATTAATGGTGACTACCATGTTAACTTTAAATTAACTGAAGCACATGTTCACTCATATCCTTATTGGAAATTTTAGTAAGGTGAAGGAGACAAAAAGCATTTTCTCAAAATAATTCCTTGAAGAAAACAATTAGAGGATCACGTATATTTTAAAATTAAAATAAGAGTTAGGAAAGACAGACTTCAAAAAAATCTATCTCAAATTAGAAAATGCAAACTCTAAAAACATAACTAAAGATACATAATATCAACGTGGAAACGTATCTTCATATCTTAAAGATATACAACTCAAAATGTAAATGTCAAAATTCAAATAGAAAGCTATTGGCCAGTGCTTAAAGTATATTTTATACAATTCTGATTTCACACAAACAAAAAAAATTATTTTAATCTTTGGGACATAATTTAACAAGTAAATTATGCATGGTAATATAATTATTATTGTATGAAATCAAATACAGTCTATGTGTAAATTAATCTAGCAGTAAACTAGTTAAAGACTGCTTTATGCAGGTTTAAGAAATAACACATAAATGTTAAAATTTATTGTGGGGATTAATTTGACCCAGTAGCATGGATGATGTTAGTATCTCCAAGTTTCTTTTTGTATTGTGTTGAAAAATTAGAACAAAAGTTATTTTTGATATGACAGTTAATTACCACAATGATCTTTTGGACTCATTCAACAAGCTGTGATTAAGTACCTACACAAAAACCATCAGGTTGTCTTCATCTTCCCCTTCTACCACCTCCTCCATCTTTGGAAGTTATATTTTACGTTTGGGACAATACCTCTGGATGTTTATTTCGTTTAGCAATCTCTCCTGCTGTCTTTCCATCTTTGGTCTGTATTGTTTTATTAGCTCCCAGTTCAAGCAACTTCAAAACTACACTTTTATGACCCTGTCGTGCTGCCCATGTTAAGGCCTAACAAAGAAAAAAGAGTAAAACTGAAAACATTGTTCAGTAGAATAAGAAATCATTATTAAACAAATATTGATAAATAGGATTAATTTCATCTTATTGTAAGCCTGATTACTCCTAAAGTTAATTCCAAACCCTGTCACATATCAATTTTAATAAAAATAAAGTAATAGACAAAACCAAAATTTTGTGGTTCCATGGAATAAAAAGATCCATCCAGTTAATTAACAATTAACTTGTTAATTAACAGTTAATTAGTGCAAACATTTTCTCCTATAAAATATCTCCATTTGGGGGCCAAGTGTAAGGCTTTGTAGATAAGCAGAGGTTCTGTTTGCTTGAGGCAGGTGCCATTTTTCTGACATCAGCAAAGAACATGTCCAATGAGTCTACTACCTCCTAGCTTTTCCTATAGACTTAAGGAATTTTCTATATGTTATCAATATTGCAGAAACAAGAGCCTTTAACAATAGAGAATAGAAGGAATCATACTGTATAACCATTTTCATCTTGGGCATTTATTTCTGCTCCATGAGCAACAAGGAGAGCAACAACCTGAGCATGGCCTTCTCGAGCTGCATACATGATTGGAGTCATACATTTCCTAGGGAGAAAACAAAACAAAATATTCAATATTAAAATGAGAACACCTGTTAATACTGTTATTAACAGCTACTTGTTTTCAATTATTCAAACTTCTATCTTGGTGTTATGGTACAGAATATAAAATGAAGATTTATGACAAGTCAATATATTTTAAAATGGGCAAACCATACCAATAACAGTAACAAATAAAAGGAAAGAGGCTTTCTTCATATTGTATGATAAATGTTTACATAGCACCCTCTAGTGAAACTCTATGTAATATTTATTAAAAGAATGTCATAATTTCCATCATGAAACTTTAAATCTTTTTCACTCATATAAAAGAATTGACCAGGCTTGAACAAATTTACATTTGAAGATTCTTACTCAGAAAATTTTAATTATAATAACCAGGTATACAATAATTTTGAACGCTGAAAATCTTACTGTAAAAATTTATTTTTGCTTATGACATAATTTTATTATCATGCTACAGGGAGGCAGTGGGATAGAGCTTTGTGCAAGTATGAATAGGGATCTCAAAACAGACTATATCTACTTTCCAAGGATGAGCTTAGGTGAGTATGAAGAGGCTCATCATAATAGCCTGGGCATTTGGTGATGAACTCTTTGGTGATGGTAATCCATAAAGCAAAGAAAAACACAAAATTGTCTTTAGCTAAGGGTAGACCTTTTATATTTCTGTAATAATAATGGTGGTAAAATAATAGAAAAGGGAGAAGAGGTTAGTAAGAACAAATTTTTAGACTACCTCTAACTATTAACTTACCCATTAGTATTTATCTCCTAAGTAAATAGAGCAATATGGCAGCCAACATTCCTCATATTAGTAAGTTATAATATAAACTCACTTAGGAAACATTACAGAAGAATTGCAAAATACTCTTGTGAGATTCTCCTATCTCCTTTCTGGATCATTTGATGAAGGAGCAAAAAATCACTTTTATCCAGGCAAAACAGCAAATACAATAGTGGGACTCTTACTAAGGAGAATGATGAAAAGTCATGAACAGTTTCAATACATAAAATACTGAGAAGCAGTAAAGAGAAAAAAATAAGCACACAAAAAAATTAGTGAGAAACTAAACTAAATCATCAGAATGGCATTTAAAGATGAAACTATAATAATAATAATAATAAACAAGATGAAAAATGGAAAAGTTCAGTCATCAAAAAGCATTTAATAGGCACCTACTATGTGTCAGAGACTATCTTCTGTGTTTGGGGGATGGGGGGGGACAAAGAAAGGTAAAAAAACCCAGTCCCTATTCTTGGGGATTTCACAGTCTGAAGGAGGGAGACAACATATAAATAGTTATGTACAAAACCAGGATTTATATAGGGTAAACTGGAGATAATCTCAGAGAGCAGGCACTAATACTAAGGATTAGAAAAGGCTCTTATAGGAGGTAGTAGGTACAATTTAGATGAAACAAAGTGCACAAACGGAAAAACGTAAAAAATGTCTGGAAAGGTAGGCTAGAATCAAGCTTTGAAGGGCACTGCTCATCAAACAAAAGTTTTTATTTTATCCTTGAGCCAAGAGGAGTTACTGGAACTTCTTGAATAGGGTAATGATACGGTCAGACTGTCCTTTAGGAATGTCACTTTGACAGCTAAGTGGAAGATTCAATAGAAAAGTAAGAAACTGAATTAGTCCATCATGAGACTAATTATAAGGCTACTGTAATAGTTTGAGAGAGGTGAGGAGGGCTTCAAGAAGGGTAGTAGGTTAGAGTGGAAGCAAAAGGACAGATGTGAGAGATGTTATGACTTGGGAAGTGACAAAGAGCTTAATTAAAGGTTATTCCTAGATTGAGTACCTGGGGGACTGGAAGGCTAGTGATGCCCTTGACAAAAGGAAAATTAGGAAGATGGGTGGGTGGAGAAAGATAATGAATTCTGTTCTAGACAGATGAGTTTAGGATGCCTATCTAACATCCATCTGGAAAGATCCAATAGGCAGTTGGTGATGTAGTTCAGGAAGAAGACTTGAACTTAGATCTAAAAGAAGTTACCTGATAACTGAACCTTTGAGAGCTGATAAAATCACTAAGAAAGAGGACGTCGAGAGGGAAAGAAGGAGGACCCAGAGCATACACCCATAATAATGTGCAGGATGTAAGTGATATATCAAAACTGCGATAGGGAAAGTCACGTTACGGAAGGGATAATTCTGTTAACCTAAATGCTTATATTTCTGGGTATATGACCAAGAATCTCTCTTTTATTGGGAACCTAGGTCCAAAGGCCACTGGACTTTTGGATAAGGAGCTATGGAAAAACCTACAGAGATTACTATAGCCCCAGGATGGCTCTCCAAAGCTTTATCATATATAGAACAAGAACTTGTTCATTCTGGAATCCTATATGTGTATGAGTAATCTCTATCAGTTTTGGGGAGCAAAATGTAACATCTTCCATGAAAACAGCATTTATAAAACATTTGATAAGGCTTTTATTACAGTATAAATGACACCCTGGAATACTACTAAATGCCTTTTTCTCAACTGAAAAAAAAATTTATAGTTCAAGTGCTTTATCATTCTTTTTGGTTATTCCAAGAATAACTTAATGTTTCTGCCAGAGCTCCTATACTTCAATGAAGCGTTGCTGGGAAGGCTATAAAATTTTCTTTCTCACTGAGTACTTACTAGTCCGTAAGCTTTAGGAGAGTAGAGCTGATACCCTTTCTAAACTTTATATCTTCCCCACCACCTAGCACAGAGCTTTATGCCAAACAGGCATTTAATATGTTTGTTGAGTAAATAATGGCTGTGAAACCACAACAGTCTAAGCAGACCTAACTATAGTTGACAAGACAGAAAAAAAGTATTTTCTTTGCTAATGACACCTTTAGCCATTGCAATGACAAGATACTTATAAACTTGGTTTATAAGTGCCAATTATTTTTATAAGTGACTTTTCAGTTCATAAGAGGTTATCTATTTTTGGCAAGTCCTTAATCAGGAGAAATTATAACAATTTATTTATGCTATCTTTTTTCTATTACGATGATGTCATGACTTATAGATTATAGGATCATAGGATTTTGAATTAAAAAGGAACTTTGTGATTTAATCAAAATCTTTCCATTTTTATGAGGAATACTGAAACCCAAAGAGGCACAATGACTTCCTCAGGGTCACAGAGGCAGAAGGTAGCAGAGCCACATGCTCTTAGGATTCTAAACTCAATACCTTGTACTACATCAATTACAAATAGATATGGGCTATAATCACTGACTCAGCTTTACAATTTCATGCAAGTCATAAATAGAATATAATCTACAAGGTAGTAATAACATCTTTATATCAAAATAATATTCCCAAAATTATATTTCACAGAACTCTGATGTATAATGCAAAGACTATTTCTATGACAAAATTTCAATGCTAGTGTTTCCCTTTAAAATATAAATAAAATTGTGTAAGAAATTATGTCTGGCAGGAAATAAGTGCCTAATAAATGCTTACTGATTTATTTTTTGTGTCTAATAAACATGTTTAATTTTCTTTATTTTGCACCAAAATTTTGCTAACCCCCATTTTATCTCGCATTGTTGTGGTTTTTCACTGAAAAGACTAGAGTGTTTTGGCTTCCAATGCAATTACTACATCATCTGCAAATAACAACATTTGGAGTACCTTGCCAACCTTGCAGGATTATTTTGTCTGGAATCTGCTTTGTACCTTCTATCACCTAGGAAATCATTAAAGTGAGCATATATTTCACTTCGTTACAGCATACATACTTGGTGTCAAGACTTGCTGCAGCATTTAACAAAATTATTTCTGCTGCTACATGATTTTAAAGAATATAAAGATAAAACCTGGTTTGAGAAGAGCCTTCAAGGCTATACTTTTTTTTCCTTTTAATTTTTTTATTCATTTTAAACTTAAATACAAAGAGAAAAAATAGAATATTTCCACATACGCAACAGAATATAAAAAAGACTCACTATAAATTAATTTTCATTTCAGACTGTTCACTTTTTTTAAAACTAGGTAATTACTATACATTATTTCAAAGCTACCCAGTTTTTCCTTCTAAGTTTTCTTTTGTTCTCTGCTGTGCACTTTTCTTTCTTCTTCTCTCCCCACCCATCCCACCCTAGAGAAGGCTACAATTAAACACAAATACACATATATACATATATGTATATACATGTATATATCCACACATTAATGTATATGTGTATGTATGTGTATATACATATACATGTAACACCATAATATACATATTCCTATTTATCATTTCTTTCTCTGGAGGTTTCTGCTTTCCTTCTGATCTTGGCTACAATGGTTTTATTTATGCGAACCCTTTTAAATTTAACAATCAAAATTATCCATTTTACACCTCACAATGCTCTCTCGTTTATTCACAAATTGTTCTCCATAAGTCTGAAATGTAACATGTCCCATGTTCTTCTAATTTTCTTGTGATTATCTCCTTTATATCTAGGTCACGTATCCATTTTGATACACGTATCCATCTTGGTACATGGTTTAAGATATTGGTCTATGCCCAATTTCTGCCACACTGCTTTCCAACTTCACCAACATTTTTTTTTTTAACCAAATAATGAATTATTATCCCCAAAATTTAAATCTTTACATTTGTCAAACACAAAGTTACTATAATCCTTTATTACTGTGTATTGTATGTCTACTCTCTTCCATTAATTAACCTATTTCTTAGCCAGTACCAAATGGTTTTGCTGTTTCTTGCCTTATAATATACAGTTTGAGGTCTGGTACTGCTGAACCTCCTTTTATATAGGTTTTTGTTAGTTTCTTTGAAATTCTTGATCTTTTGTACTTCCAAATAAATTTTGTGATTATTTTTCTAACTGAGTAAAATGATTTTTTAAAGAAATTTAATTAGAATGGCATTAGACTAGTTAGGTAAAATTGTCGTTTTTATTATATTGGCTTAACCTACCCATGAACAATTAATATTTCTCTAATTATTTAAATATGATTTTATTTGTATAAA